CAATTTTAATCCGTATACCGTTCCGTCATGTGCTTGCGCTTACATGCCCTAAATGCATCAAAAGTGAGATTTTTACACTTCCCATCGATATGTTCTCATGTCCTCTACATTTCTAGAGTGCGATCGATACGCTGATCAAAAAGTATACGTACATAAAACAAACATTAGACCAACGAACGCGTTGTAGTAATATTATTCGATCGCGGCATCATGACACGCCATCATTAAAATATATCAGACTACATGTCATAATATATATCCAATATTGATAACACCGCCAATGCGAATGCCAAAACCAAGTAAATGTGACCATTACTTCCTTGGACTCACAAGGAACGGCATTGTTCATACCAGAGATGCTCCTGTCATTGTTCAGCGCAGCAATCTCGCTGAGCACCTCGCTTTGCGTGACTGTGCCTGAGAGGTGGACGTGCACAAACTTGAATCCCACATTCTCTGCGGCCTTACGCTTCATGCGTATGTATACATTCGAGTCCTCACGAGCCCCCACCTGCGATAATACATAATCACACAAATTGCTGATCAACATGTATGGTTGATAACAACTACAATCCTTATCTGACCTGCGACACAACATAATCATATCATAAACTGACTAATGACATCACTTAGATGCCTTGTCTGAGCTAACACGGACCGAACATAATCCAATGTACAAACGCTACCACATACCTGTACTACTGCAAGGCCAGGTGTGCCTCCAGCCGCTTGCACCTTGGCAGCTATTCTTGTGCGGATCACCCTGAAAGTGACAATATACAAACAGCATGACAATTCTGAGAGTTAAAGCGCGATATGAAATAGAATATATTAGCAACATGTTTCACCCTGGTATAAATACCCCGCAAGGCAAATTCGTGAGTGAATGTGTGATATGAGGTAGAATTCACTAGCAAATATGTATCACCCTGATATAGATAAGACGCAAGGTAAATCCGAGCGCGAATGTTTCACATGTGACAGAACTCACTAGCAATTGTGCATCACCCTAGAATAGATAAGCCACGAGGCAAACCCACGAGTGCATGTGTGATATGGCATAGAAATAGCAAGCAATTATACATCGCCCTGGTTTAGACAAATCGCAAGGCAAATCCGTGAGTGCAAATGCGATGTAGCACAGAAACAGCACGTAAATCATATATCACCCTGGTATAGGCGAAACGCAAGGCAGTTTCGTGAGTTAAAATGACGTACGGCACTCAATCCACTAGCAATCATGTGACACCCTAGTATGGATACATCGTAAGGCAAATCCATGAGGAAATGAGAAATATGGGATGAAATTCATTAGCATTTGTGAATTACTCTGGTATCGATAGCAGGGTACATTCGTGAGTAAATGTGCGTTATAAGATAAAATATACTGGAAACTAAGTTGGAATGCATCAATAGATATATTACAAATGCACGAGGAAGGCGAAATACGAACGAGGGCACTTGATGCACACAATGAGCTTGAAAATGGCGTATTCATATGTTATTGGATGTGAAGATTATCTCCTACAGACACGGGGACAATACACATGCAACTGTATAATCAAATCGTACGTCAGCGAAGGCCATACACGGAGCCGTCTACTTGAAATAAATCATACAAGCCATGCTGGACGTCTTCTCAATACACAGATGGTATACAGATGACAATTATATAATACGGAGCCGTCTACTTGAAATAAATCATACAAGCCCTGCTGGACGTCTGCTCGATACACAGAGGTATACAGATGGCAATTATATAATACGGAACACAAGCAATGTATAATTCCCAATTACATTCGAGAAAGAATATAGGAAACAGTACATAAATACATAACATAGATAAATACTATATCCAAGTACACTTTGATAACAACAAATATTAAACATACGTGAATACTTTCTGAAAATAAAATACTGTACATACTTTGATAATTCAGTGCCAGATAAGATCCTGGACCCATCCTCATCGTGACGAAGCATTTTCTTTATGTATGTGTTAATGGTTCTACTAGTAACAGTTCTAGCACATTTGAAGTGTTTGATACTTGTTAGCTGGTGTAGCCTCAGTTCAGCGAACATGCGTAGTATAGATATACTAAAGTACATGGAATGCCATGGATGCTATATAGAATATATAAGGTGCTCTCTGGGCAAGAAAACCTCGGAACATTTATGATGAAATAGATTAAATAAATCGAAGTTTTTACTTTATGTTGGGTAAAACAAATCATAAAAATAAATAAATAAATAGAATGTAGCATGACAGAGTCACAAAGATTGCTATGCGCTGGTACCGAACTTCACTTTTCATGGTTTTGGCGCGCGTCCAGCACGGACGGACATCGCCAGAATCTGAGAATCATCATCGCCAGGCGCCTGTTACATACGTAAATACTACGATATGATATTACCTAAATAAATACTACGATTAGATATATATTTAAATAGTTATATTGTTAAATAGCTCAAACTTGTAAAGACTATTCAAACCTCTAGAAACATATTGTTCAAGATGGATGAGGCAGTTGTGGATCACATCGGCAATATGTATGTTGTACTGTCAAGTATCTTTTATTGCACCCGGATGTCCTTTCATTCTGACCGCTCTGTCGGCGGTCGAATCGACCACACGCACTTCATTCTTTTGTTATCCTATTCGTTCTATACGAGTATCTGATCTCAATATTGTACCTTATACAGTATTGGCTCCACAACAAATATAGAGGGGGTAGTGGCCACGGACAACGCTGGATTATGTATAGAAGGTATATATCTACTTATTCTACTAGGAACGATGCGTATTAGTACATGA